TGGGTAATTTTCTATTATATATTTTCATATGGAAAGGGAAAAATGATAAATCCTCTGTAATCACAAACCCCAATTTCGTTTTGTTTATTCAGCTTCTAAAATATTGAACACCCAGACTTTTCATTCAACCTTTAAGAACCTTATCATTTATGTTTCAGTAGATATGAAAGTAATCCATGTTTGTGTCAAACGATCATAGGAAATAAATAGAAGAGACAGTGAAGCAAGTAAAATGAAAAACATTGTTTTAATTTGTTTGCATTTTTTTCATTTGTCAAAATGCTTCTTTTGTTGCCACAGTAAAGAACGGTTTTTATTGTTTTGTAAGTAAAATTACATAGCTGATTTTGTATGTAAAGATTAATTTCCTTAATAAAAATTATTATATGTTTACTATGATCTTAATGGGCAGGGTTAAGAAAGTTATTTAAAATAAAGTTACCTATTCTACTAAATTTTATAGTACTTTGAAGCTTCTATTAACACAAAGATTAATTGGTGCATATATTTTATGTATATATATTTTGAATTCTCATTTTGAACCTTATTAAAGGATTTTATTTTTCTTACACAAAAATAGTTCCATAGCTCTCAGTGTCTTTCATTCCTTGAGAGTTTGCTATTCTAGAACCATTTTATCTTAGTAAATGATTTCTCAGTTAACTAGATTTCAGCAAATGTGTAGCTGTATTCTTGCATATGCTAATTCCTGCTATTGCAGTTGGGGTAGAAATATTGGAAAATGTGCTTAGGTATTCATGTTCATGTGTTCCAGCTCTAGACTTACATGTTTTTCAGGAGTCAAAGGAAACTCTTGGCCATCAGAAAGATCCAATGAAGAGTGGCATATAGTATCAAAATCGCAGTGTATTTTGTGAAAAGACCTTAATGCTAAATTAGGACAATAAGTGTAATAGTTGCTTAACCTGAATGTAGAGCCATCTTGAACTTATTAGAGAATATGCTTTAGTCAGACCAAAAAGCACCAAGGATAAGGTCAGGGTGCAATGGTGATCTGAAGCTGGAATCAGATTGAAAAGGAACAGTTCATTCCTTCCTCAGAAACGACACTAGACCCAGAGTGTATTAGTCCATTTTCACACTGCTAATAAAGACATACCTGAGACTGGGCAATTTACAAAAGACAGAGGTTTATTGGACTTAAATTTCCACGTGGCTGGAGAGGCCTCACAATCATGGCAGAAGGTGAAAGGCAATGTCTCACATGATGCCAGACAAGGGAAGAGGAGCTTGTACAGGGAAACTCCCCCTTTTAAATTCATCAGAGCTCATGAGACTCATTGACTATCACGAGAACAGAGCAGAAAAGACCTGCTCCCATAATTAAATCACCTCCCACCCTGTTCTTCCCATGACACAGCCAGGAGTAGGAATTGTGGGAGTCAGAATTCAAGATGAGATTTGAGTGGGGACACAGCCAAAACATATTCCATCCCTGGCCCCTCCCAAATCTCATGTCCTCACATTTCAAAATCAATCTCATGCCTTCCCAACAGTCCCCCAAAATCTTAACTCATTTTAGCATTAACTCGTAAGTGCACAGTCCAGTGTCTCATCTGAAACAAGGTAAGTCCCTTCCTCCCATGAATCTATAAAATCAAAAGCAAGTTAGTTACTTCCTAAACACAATGGGAGTACAGGCATTGGGAAAATACAGCCGTTCCAAATGGGAGAAATTGGTCAAAACAAAGGGTCTACAATCCCTATGCAAGTTGAAAGTCCAGCAGGCAGTCAAATCTTAATGCTCCCTTTGACTCCATGTTTTGCATCTGAGTCACACTGATGCAAGAGGTGAGTTCCCATGGTCTTGGGCAGCTTCCCCTCTGTGGCTTTGCAGGGTACAGCCTCCCGGCTGCATTCAGAGGCT